TACTGGGTGACAGTCATAGACCCCTGCTGGAGGCGCTCGAACTGCCTCCGATAAGCATCCCTCTGAGTAACGGGGAGAAACTTCTCCAGGAACAACTCTGAAAACTGATCCCAAGTCAAAGGCGGCGACCCTGCTGGTCTGGCTAAACAGTAATCCCTCCACCAAGTCTTGGCGGATCCAGATAGACGAAAAGCCGCAAAATCAACTCCATTGGACTCCACAATGCCCATGTTTCGAAGAACCTCGTGGCAGCTGTATAAGAAATCCTGGGGGTCCTCAGAAGAAGCTCCGCTGAATGTAGCAGTGAAAAGCTTGGTGAACCTGTCCAGCCTCCACAAAGCATCAGCGGACATAGCCGCTCCATCACCGGCCTGTGCAACTACCCCCGGCTGAACTGCCACAGCTGGCTGGCCCGGTGGGATCTGAGTCTGGGGAGCTACCTGCTCCGGAGTACGTGCAGCAGGAGTCTGGGCTCCTCCTCCAGCCTGGGAAGTGGCTGGTGCTGCAGGAAGCAATCCTGCTCGGGTGACATTCTCCATGAGGCCAACCAACCGGACCAAGGCGTCCTGAAGAACTGGGGTAGCAATAAACCCCTCTGGGACCTGAGCTGGGCCCACCGGAACTGTCTGAGCTGGGGCCGGAACCTCCTCGTCAAGGCCAACCTGAGGGTCCGCCACTGGTGTTGCTGCTGGTGGCTGGGCCCTGCCCCTACCTCGGCCCCTAGCACGGCCACGTCCTCTGCCCCTAGCGGGAGCTGCCTGGGGCTCGGACTGCTGATCGGAGGATGAGGAAGCGCGTGTTCTCGCCATCTGCGAAAGAACAGAGTGGAAATTCAATCAGCATTTAAGAAACCAAATCGCACGACAAGAAAGAACAAATGAGAGATTTTTCCTAACTCAATAGACTCTGGGGAACAAGTACAGACGTCTCCGTACCTACCCCTCAGACTCTACTAAGTTTGTCCGTGAGTTGTGAGACCTATGTAACCTAGTGCTCTGATACCAACTTGTCACGACCCGGATTTCCCACCATCAGAGTCGTGATGGCGCCTACTCGTGGTAGCTAGGCAAGCCAACTTAATTACCTTTCCATCACTAGCAATTATCTTTAACAGTTTATAACATCAATATAGAACATAAAGTCTAATAAGAACAATAGCGGAAGTCTGTCTTAAAATGATGAATTTAAAACGCGGAATAGTCAAAAACAACCTCTACCCAAGATTTGGTGTCACATTACTCACGAACCACTAAGAATAAACTAAATACAAAGGTCTGAAAGAAATATAACAGCTGTCTGTCTCGAAACAAGGAGGCAACAGTCTAAAAGAAAACAATGAGAAGAGACGCCGGGCCTGCGGACGCCTGCAAGGCTACCTCAGTCTCGTGAATATGAATCGCCTGCTTCCGAACTACTGCTGCTGCTGTTCCTCAAAACCTGGACCTGTGCAAAAATGCACAGAAGTGTAGCATCAGCACAACCGACCCCATGTGCTGGTAAGTGTCTAGCCTAACCCCGGCGAAGTAGTGACGAGGCTAGACTGGACACCACATAAACCTGTGCAGTTATAGATATACAGCGGAAATCGAATACAAAGCAATTACCAACATGGGAGGGGAAACATGCTATGGGGAGTTACAATAATAACAATAATCCAGAGTAACAACTAAAGCAACTTAGGTTCACAGTGAACAAGGAATCAATACTCAAATGTAAACACATAGCCTCAATAATTGTTGCGGCGTGCAACCCGCTCCATAATTACCATTGTTGCGGCGTGCAACCCGCTCCACAATATCATTGTTGCGGCGTGCAACCCGACCCATATCACTTATCATATATCATTGTTGCGGCGCGCAACCCGATCCTCATATATTATTGTTGCGGCGCGCAACCCGATCCTCAACATCATTGTTGCGGCGCGCAACCCGATCCTCAATATCATTTAACAGTCTGACTCCCCAAACAACAGTCACAATTAAGGGGCATAAAATAAGCAAATATTTGACAAACATCCCGGCAAGGGAAAGAATCCGACAAGTTCAACCAAGCGTCCCGGCAAGGGAATAATCAACAACGCTTTCTCTTTCTTACTTTTCTTATCTTATAATTCACTTTACTATTTTGAGCCAACGCTCCAAAGAATCAAGTCATTTCGTATACTTTCAATATTCGTATCACAATTCGAGCCAATGCTCCCAGGAATCAAATGATCATATTACCGTTCACATGTTATTCACAACATATAGAAATTCTCCAATAAAGACGGAGTTCTCAACCAAGTCACGATAATCACATTATAAGGACTCACGGTCATGCTAGACACCAATGTATAGATACTCGTCACCATGCCTATACATCGTACTCGATCACATAGCAATTAGCAACAAGACCCAACTCCTATTCCCTCAAGCTAGGGTTAAACCAAACACTTACCTCAAAGCCTTGAAATCCACTTAATCCTCAACTACCGCTTTACCTCGCGGTTCCACCTCCAATTCGCTCGAATCTAATCACAAATTGCTTGAATGTATCAACAAATGATAATGAAATCAATTTGAATGCATGAAAATAGATTTCCCAAAGTTTTACCCAAAAATTCCCAAAACGCCCCCGGGCCCACGTGGTCAAAACTCGAGGTTCGAACCATAATCCGGTTACCCATTCCCCCACGAGTTCAAATATATAATTTGTTTTGAAATCGGACCTCAAATCGAGGTCCAACTCCCCAAGTTACAGAAAATCTAGGTTCTACCCAAAAACCCCAATTTCACCCATGAAAATCCTTGATTTCAAGTGGAAAACATGTTTAATGATGTTAAAAGTTGGAAGAATTGAGTAAAAATCAACTTAAAAATGATTTGGGATGAAGTTGCTCTTGAAAAATCGCCTATGGTGTTTGGGTTTTGAAAGAATGGTGAAAAGTGATGAAAATTCGACTAAGTATAAAATTTGCTGGGCCTCAGATATGGAATTGCGAACCATGGTTCGCAATTGCGAACAAAACAGGGCTGGGAATTGCGACATTCTTGGTTCGCATTTGCGAACCCATGTCTGGTGGCCAGGTTTCCCTTTTGCGAACATTCGATCGCATTTGCGACCAGGGCCACCTCGCATTTACGAGCCAATGGATCGCATTTGCGATCCCAAGCCTTTTCCCCAGACTTTGTATTTGCGAAGTGTTGATCGCATTTGCGATCTGGCCCAAACTTCCCTTCTTCGCATTTGTGATGGGGAGTTCGCAATTGTGAGTCTCGCATTTGCGAGAATTCCTTCGCAAATGCGTTGCCAACAGACCTGACCTGCAACATTTTTTCAAAGTTCAAAAATGCAACTCGACACCTTTCCAAAACTCACCCGAGCCCTCGGGGCTCCAAACCAAACATGTACACAACCTCAAAAATATCCTACGGACTTGCTCGTGCGATCAAATCGCCAAAATAACATCATTTACATAGAATCAAGCCTCAAAATTCATGATTTTTCTTCTAAACTCATAAACTTTCAAACTTGGAACTTATAGTCCGAAACACGTCAAACGACGTCCGATTTCGACCAAACTTCATAGAAAGCGCTTAAACAATATATAAGACTTGTAACGGGCGTCGGAACCAAAATACAAGCCCGATACCACAGTCTTTTAATCAATTTTCATTTCCAATTTCCTTAATAATTTTAGAAAAACAATTTCACAGAAAAATTCTTTCCTCGGGCTCTAGACCTCGGAATTCGACTCCGGGCACATGCCCGAGTCCCATATTTTTCTACGGACCTTCCGGGACCGTCCAATCTTGGGTCTGGGTCCGTTTACCAAAAATGTTGACCGAAGTCAACTTTAATCATATTAATATCAAAATTCTTCAATTTTTTCACAGAATTCACATATTTCAACATAAAAGCTTTCCGGCTACGCGCCCGAACTGCACACGCAAATCGAGGCAAGAAAAAATGAGGTTTTCAAGGCCTCGGAAGCACAGAACGAATGAGGAAACAGGTGATGACCCTTTGGGTCGTCGCAGGTAAGGATTGAGATACAAATCTGGACACAACAGACCAAAGATGCGAATTACTTCAGTTATGCATACAACCCCTTCATTTAATCTAATGCTAGAATTGGGAAAAGGCTGAATCCTACAGACCCTTCATTTAGTCCTACATCAAAGGGTAATAATGCAGAAAACAAGGGCTTGAGCATGAGGGTCGGGCCAGCATCACTGATCAACGCAGCCGTGAATTAGAGGACTTGATGCTGGTATCCCACTCGAAAGTAGATGAAGCGGGCAAAAGGGTGAGTGAATTGGAGTTATTGCTCGAAACAGAGAAATATAGGATTCAGGAGCTTGAAGAACAAATAAGCACATTAGAGAAAAAATGTGTGGCGACAGAAGCAGAATCTAAGAAGCACGCTGATAGGGCGTCTAAACTTGAAGCAGAAGTGGAGGCATTCAAAATGAAATCATCAAGCCTTGAGGTTGCTTTGGAGGAGACCAAGGAGAAAGAAAAGGAATTGAGTCAATGCCTGACAATGTGACAGAGGAGAAGAAAAACTTAGAGGATGTATACACGAATTCAGTTGAAAAACTAGCTGAAATAGAAAACCTGCTTGAGGTCCTGCGTAATGAATTGAATGCCACTCAACAGAGACTGGAAGGTATTGAGAATGATCTTAACGCTACTGGGTTGAAAGAGAGTGAGGTGATGGAAAAGCTCAAATCAGCAGAAGAGCAGCTAGAGCAACAAGGAAGAGTTTTGGAGCAAGCAACAGCTAGAAGCATAGAGCTTGAGTCACTGCATGATACACTAAAAAAGGATTCTGAGCTTAAACTCCAAGAGGCAACTAGCAAATTTGTTACCAGAGATACATAGGCACAAAACATTGAATGAGACGTTGAAGGCTCTTGAAGATCAGCTAAAGAGTTATGAGGAGCAGATTGCTAAATCTACTGAAAGTTTTTCAGCTGTTAAGGAAGAACTGGATCAGGTGTTGGTGAAGCTGGTTTCTACTGAAACTGACAATCAGTGCGGCAAGTTGCTTCCTTTGCATTCTTGTATGCATCACTCCAGGTCAAGATTGCTGCATAAAACCATATAATTGCTATAGAGAAGAGCATTGCAAACCGGTCATATATCGGCCTCTTTAATTTGAGATATGTTGGTAGATACTGCAAGAAATTTAGTACATTCAGGGAATCAATTCGAGTAGGAAGAGGATATATGATGTGAATAACTACTATCACGACATGAGCAAGCTTTATGTTAGAATTTTTTTCTTTAACCCTTATGCTCAATGCACAAAAATGCTACAGTGTATCCTGGATCTTTTGATCGGCAAATTATTTTAGCAAGTTTATATATTTACATTTACTCAACAGGCTATACCATTTCAAAATCACTTGATCAATATCACTGCTTTAGTAAAGAGAATACGCTACGGTATCCTCTTCAACAACTCCATGAAAGAGAACAATGTACTCATAAAAAAGCATATAAATCCAAACTTAAATTCATTATAGTGAATGGAATTACTTGCCTGTGTGATGACAACCATGAAAATCAACTGTGGTATCCCAACTTCGACACATTCTGCAATCTACAAAATAAAGAATACAAAAAGTTTAATTAGTGAACATGTTTTCAGCAATCTGATGTTCTCATCTTTCCAGAGAGCATATTTTAATCAAAAGCATATATTATACGAGAAGTCTAGGATTAAAATTCTCACCAATGGGAAGCCAAGATGGTAGAGCCCTAGTCCAGTCAAAGTAACAAGTGGTGCCACAAATAGAGGGCTAAGTAACCTAAATTATACAAGAAATGCAGAAGTTATACAGAAAATGAAGTTGATGACCTAAAGTTGAATATTCCACATGCTCAAGACTGAAAAAACAAGAACTTCAGATTACACACACCTTACAAGATTTCTCCACAGGCCAAAGAAGCCCATTATAATTTGGAAACCAGAAGTAACAATAAGAGCTCCCTGTATGCCTCTCATTGTATGCATAAACCTCTGCAAATATCAGTCGCAAGAACAAATTCAAGAAACATCAGCTGAATGGACAACCTCCCCCCCTCCCCACCCAAAAAAAGAAAACAACTCAAAGTCCCAACAGAGGCAGATGAACAATATTTTTGACACGGAGCATTTCAACAAATATTCAATTCTGATCATCATAATTCCATAGTCTATGTTGCAGACTTTCCAAAATGCTACCGCACCCGTGTCGGTGTCGGATCCTCCAAAAATGCACTACGTTTGGAGGATTCGACATGCACCTAACGGCATTTTTGGAGAGTCCGAACAATATAGTCCAGAGTACAATGTGTTCAGTGTGAATAACCTTAAAAATTGAACACATCAAGTTTAAATCTTGGATCCGCCTCTGGTCTCACACCCCTCCTACCCGAAAAGAGAGAGAGAAATAGATAAAAATGTTATACTACCAGCTCAGGATCCTGAAGAACTGAGGAACTATTAAACTGGATAATTGAGGTAATTGGTATCAAGTATGCATATGAACCACCTATTACCAATGGCAATCTGGTCCCGAATAAAGATTGTAGTAATGTATTCACTCCTGAAATAAAGAGCATTGTCTGTACTACTTTTGCCGTCTCATCCTACAATTTAAGATCACTGTCTCAAAATCAATTGAATCAATAAAAGGATAATAGACAATATCAATTAGCTAGTTTCAGCAGTCCAAAAAACAAAAACAAAAAAATAGTCATAATGTTAAGGAATTGAAGGAAATTCTTACATTGCCACCTCCCATTTGAGGAACTAGGATGCTAGGAATTAAGACAATATTACCAAGACTCAATATGTAATGTTGAAACCCTAAGAATAATGCTTCTGCTGCATTTATCATAAAATAATCATAGTATCAGTTCAATATCTTTTTTCGACGAAATTAACAACAATTGACAATATGGTCTTGTCTAAATAATGTCACGTACACAAAGGTGGTGGGTTGTTAACACAGTATTGTACATTCTTAAGTTGCTCCATAATTGGATGAGGATGTAATTCCTCTGCTTTTTTAGCTCCATTCTCACCACCTCCACTAGACATAGTTGAAATTTAGAGATTGTTTGCTTTTAGAGAATGTTCAAATTGGCGCTAAATATTTCTTTGCTTGACATTTTCCTTTACCAAAACTATGACTGTGAGATTTATATTGAGAGTCCAAGGTTTGTTATTTATGAATAGTAAAGGGAAAACGAGTTCCGAGCTGACGAGGCCAAGCAATAGCAGCATTGCACTTTCTGTATTTTATGTCAAACTATTGACTATGGAGGATTTGAAATCGATATGCATCGACGACAATAAAATTTTTTGAACAATGACAAGAATAACAGAAAATATACAAAGGAACAAATGCAGTTGACTACTGTCATAGTAGAGGTGTATTCTACAGAGACGTCAAGGTAAGAAAATATAAAGATTTGACACCACTATTTATCGACGACAATGAAAATTACACACAACATCTCGACTAGTGGTAGATTCAATGCATCGACGACGCTTAGAAATTTATGAATAATCACAAGAATAGCAGAAAAACAGTCGGATATCACAAACAACTGGCATATGCAGAAAAAACTGAACTTTCGCAAATCTCAAATCCCAACAGTTGAAGGCACAAATTTGTACCTGGTAAGCAGATTGTTTTGCCAATAAATACAAGAAATTGAAGGAGAAGAATGAGTTCTGAAACAATCTCGAAACCTACACGAAAAGAGAAGTGAGAAACGGATAAAATAGAGAATACTAACAACGACGATAGAGCATAATCGAGCAGCACAATCCAAAACTCAACTGTTAATCGCATCGGCTGGGTAAAAAGAGAAGATACCTGGGAAAGAATTACAGTTATCTGGGGAAAAGGCTGGCCGGAGACCTATATATATGTGCGATTTTGTTAATAGATCGTCTCTTCCGTATCCAGTTCAATGAAGGAATAGGTTTTCGTAATATTTTGATTCGAGTCGATGAAGGAATAGGTTTCAGATGATTTTCTGATTGGAGGGAATCTTCGATCTTGTCCTAAAAATAGGGAGGGAAAGATTAATTACTTGGGCAGGGAGGGAAATTTTTTTTTTAAAAAAAAAAAAAGAAAAACCCTATGCGCTGAAAGTCAGTAATTTCTAATGGTAATTTATTTTTATTGCCGATAAAAGGTTATTTTTTAGTGGCTAATGGTCATTTGCCGCATATATTTCAACTTATAGAATATATTAGCGGCAATTGACTTATTGACGTTAAATAATTGCCGCCAAATGACCTTTTTGCAGTAGTGATGTCACACCATCCATCGTTGGGAAGAGCCACCCGGTTCACACATAATCCACCTTTGGAAAGAACCGTGGCACTAAGAAAACCAAAGGCTTATTGTTCACTCACAACGTAAAAAGAAGCTAGCAAATTAAAAAGAAGCTACTAGAGTAAATAAGAAGTTATACTACTAAAGAAAAGCAACTAAAGAAGCTATGAAATAAACTACAGAAAGCGAGATAAAATAATATATAAATCGAAGTCAAATGAATATATACATAAGGAAAATGAATATTTACATCAAATGGAGAAAACTTTATACATACCGAAGGAAAATAAAGATGAAATAAAAATAGTATTAGAGTTATTACAACCCAAATGTCAAATAATCATAATAGACCACCCTCAAATGAAAAATAAGCATTGTCCCCAATGCTTAACAAAAATAAGAACAGGGAAAGGGTAGAGAGTTAAGAGAACTCCCTATGTGGTCTCAGTCTGCATGGGATCCTCAGCAACCTCCACCTCAACCTGTATCTCATCATCACCAGGCTGAGAGTCAACTGGGTTGCTGAGCATCTGGATCATCTCCTCAGCAGTGTGGGAAGTGGCAACCAGCTCCTCAGACTGTCCGGTTGCCGCCTCTGGTGCTGCATGTGCTGCTGGAATAGTGGACTCCATGAGTAGGTCCAATGGAAGTTCTCATGCAGATGCAATCTTGGCGACCTCCTTTGTCAACCTGTCTACTGACCTCTTTGATGCTTGAGACTTCTTTATCTTTTTGACCTGTTTGCTCAAGGCTGCAATGACCTTCCCATGCGCCACTAGAGTATCCTTAATAGTCTTATAGTTTTCCAAAATCTTCTTCAATGCTTCCACTGACAAAGGTATCTATGGCTATGCTGGGGCTGAGAACTGTGCTGCAACAGCACTAGAAATATCAGTCAGCTTTGTAGTAGCTGCCTGCATCCAGTTGTTGAGACTCGCCAAAGTCTGGGAGACTCGTAGCGCAGTCTGAGGATAGGTAGATGAAGCTGGCACTGGCAATGGAACTGATAGTATAGTAGAAGCAGGGAGTCCAGTAGATGATGAGGTGGCATGGCTGCTGTCCCTGTGGAAGTACCTGCTGTTGTAGAAGGCTCGGCAGCTGAATTAGTGACCACTACCGTTGGCTCCTCAGACTGGCCAGTGGCAGTAGTAACTTTGCCTTTGAATTTAGGGTTGTCAGCTCCCTGAAGGTGGTACCAGGAGAAAGGCTTTTTTGCCTTCACATCTGTGTCATAATGCTTCAACTCCACCCCTTGATCCTTGAAGTATTCAGTGAGGAAGTTCGGGTACGGATAGGATCTCTCACCCTTCTGGACTGCTAGAGTGATGTTGGTGGACATGATGGCACCAACATTTATCGGATACACAGCCATAATCGAGGCCACCAAAACTTCACGGGGAATTGGGAGCATGTTTTCATTGAGGCATGGGTCAATGCGGCTACACACAAACGTTTGCCACCCTTTTGTTTCAAAGTTTAGGGTGGCCCGGAAAATTGAACTCCAGCTGTGAGCCACAGAGGTGTTGACCCTGGAATTGCCAGAATCTCAGCCCACCACGGACGAGCTGCATCACCCATATCTAGCTTCTCCAAATACTGCACTACTTTCACTTATAACCCTACATACGTATTTAGTGCACAGAAGTCAAAGCGGATTTTCAGATTCCGCACTTTTGTCACCTTGGTTCCCTGTTTGATGTGAGCAACATTTGCGTAGAACTTCTTGACTAGGTACTCATTTGTATCTAGCACTTTGTTGGTGAACCAGCTCCAACCTTTTTGCCCTTGGAATTGCCTGAGGACATTGGGGTTGTGTTTGTTCAAGTCTTTCATTAAAAACTTTTGCTCAAGAGTGAACGACCTCTGTGGCCACCATTCCGGAACTTTGCAAAGGCATTGGCAATAACGAACCTGTCCTCCCATATCTCCGGCCTCCTTGATCTTTCTAACCCCGGCACTGCAGTATCTCCCCCTCTCCCATCATCTAGAACATCATCATCATCTAAGTTTATTGGAGCAGGGGGAGCCCATGTGGAAGAGGGCTCAGAGTCTTGGCTGCCCTCTCCCGAACCTCTATGGCCACCATTCCGGCTGTGCTTGCATGGAGTTACCCTCAGAAGCTTCCCCGGATGGGACATACTCACTGGTTTTCGAGGTATCAGAGGCTCTATTTGCTGTTGCTTTCTTGCTTATAACCCTTTGAAGTGCAAGAGGTAGGCTGCTTTTACCTCGACCCCGGCCTCGGGAGGGTTTTGGCCTCCCTTTTGATAGATCACGTTTACCACGTGAGCGAACCATTGTCCGCAACACATAAGAACAAGAATCAGTGACAATTGAAGGTTATAATGTATACAGAGGCACAAAAATACAGGATGGAAAGTTGCAGTAAAAGTGTCTCAGAAGGGCAGTGCGGATCACACAAAAATGAGTGCGGCCGTAGACTGCCCATTGCAGACCGCACAAAAATGACTGCGGCCGTAGAATATCCATTATGGACCGCGTAAAAAAATGTGTGGCGGCAGAGCTCTAGGTTCAGACTACTGGGGTCTCTGAAGTTCCTTCATTGCGGACCGCACAAAAATGAGTGCGGCCACACCAGGCCATTGCAGACTGCACAATAATATGTGCGGCCACATAAGTGAAGCTCAACTTTTGCCTAACTTAGAGGACTGTGGACCATACAAAAATAAGTGCGGTCGCATAGCCTCCACTACGAGCCGCACAAAAATGTGTGCGGCTGCACAATTCAAATTTAACGGGCACTGAAACTAGGGTTCATGCAATTTTGGTCTCAAATGATCATGATTTTAGCAATCAAACAACTTTAGCTACTTACCCAGACCCCAATTAACGATCAATAAGCTGCCCACATGATTATAAGCAAAAACAACTAAACATTGACAATTTTAGGCATGTAAGTAACCCTAAATCTAAGAACAAAACAAACAAACGATGAAGAATCTAATGAGGAGATTAACGTATCAGTAATGAAGATGCAAGTGATGAAGTGAGGGAAAAATTTGAGAGCAAATGGGAATTTTTACTGTGCAAGCTTGGCTTTAGGTCTCAGAGGTGCGAAAAGTGAAAAAAGAAGAGAGAAATCCTATTTATACTTTTACTCGTGGGACCCCGTCTTTTACATGAGTGCGGCCGCATACTTTTGATGTGGACTGCACTCTTTACCTGCCCTTGAGTGACTGACTGCGGACCGTACAAAAATGAGTGCGGCCGCAGCATCAGTGCGGTCCGCATAAAAATGTGTGCGGCCGCATTTCCTTAAGCGTTTTTGACAGACCAACTTCAGAGACCATGCATTTTGACACTTAGCCAAATTTTTCATGCACAGTTCTTGCAATGCACACCTATTCCTGCATACACTTCAAAACTGATTAGCACAAAACCAAACCTTTATAAAAGAAAGAAAATAAAAGAAAGAAAAAGACATGGGTTGCCTTCCAAGAAGCGCCTGATTTTAACGTTGCGGCACGACGCAGATTACCAATCACTTGAAATGAAGGACCGCCACAATGTGGCCATCATCAACCTTGCCCAGATAATGCTTAACCCGGTGTCCATTGACTCCAAACACCTCATTGTTCTTATTTTTCGAATCTAGAGCACCAAAAGGGGTTACATTCACTACTTCAAAGAGGCCACTCCATTTTGATTTTAGCTTGCCTGGGAACATTCTTAACCTAGAACTGAACAATAGCACTAAATCACCTTTTTTGAATTCCTTGTTATGGATATACTTGTCATGGAGGTACTTCATCTTCTCCTTGTAAAGGGACGAACTTGTGTAGGCATGATACCGGAATTCATCAAGCTCATTCAAATGTGCCACTCTTAGGTTTNGGGGGTTATTTGTTTTAAAATGGGGATGTGAGGAGTGAGACGTGAGTGTCAGATCTTTTGTATTATTTGTTTTACTACTTTTTTACTTTTACTTTTTTTTTTTCGTTTGTTGCTTTTTTTTTTTAAATAATTTTTCTTAAAACTTTTTTTTTAACTAAATAAAAGAATATAAAACACACACACACATATATATAGGAATAAATTTTATATTCTAAGAATGTGAATATTTTTTTTTAGCTTTCTAATCTTTCTCAAATAAAAACAATGAAAAAATAAAATAAAAATTTAATGCATCAATATTAGACACCTTAAAGAAATATTTACAGTAAAATAGAATAGAATTTGGGTGTGGTCAAAAATTAGGTGTTCACACCTCCTACCCGAAAATAGAGAGAGAAATAGATAAAAATGTTATACTACCAGCTCAGGATCCTGAAGAACTGAGGAACTATTAGCCTGGATAATTGAGGTAATTGGTATCAAATATGCATATGAACCACCTATTACCAATGGCAATCTGGTCCCGAATAAAGATTGTAGTAATATATTCACTCCTGAAATAAAGAGCAATGTCTGTACTACTTTTGCCTTCTCATCCTACAATTTAAGATCACTGTCTCCAAATCAATTGAATCAATAAAAGGATAATAGACAATATCAATTAGCTAGTTTCAGCAGTCCCAAAAACAAAAACAAAAAATAGTCATAATGTTAAGGAATTGAAGGAAATTCTTACATTGCCACCTCCCATTTGAGGAACTAGGATGCTAGGAATTAAGACAATATTACCAAGACTCAATATGTAATGTTGAAACCCTAAGAATAATGCTTCTGCTGCATTTATCATAAAATAATCATAGTATCAGTTCAATATTTTTTTTCGACGAAATTAACAACAATTGACAATATGGTCTTGTCTAAATAATGTCATGTACACAAAGGTGGTGGGCTGTTAACACAGTATTGTACATTCTTAAGTTGCTCCATAATTGGATGAGGATGTAATTCCTCTACTTTTTTAGCTCCATTCTCACCACCTCCACTAGACATAGTTGAAATTTAGAGATTGTTTGCTTTTAGAGAATGTTCAAATTGGCGCTAAATATTTCTTTTCTTGACATTTTCCTTTACCAAAACTATGACTGTGAGATTTATATTGAGAGTCCAAGATTTGTTATTTATGAATAGTAAAGGGAAAACGAGTTCCGAGCTGACGAGGCCAAGCAATAGCAGCATTGCACTTTCTGTATTTTATGTCAAACTATTGACTAGGAGGATTTGAAACCGATATGCATCGACGACAATGAAAATTTTTGAACAATGACAAGAATAACAGAAAATATACAAAGGAACAAATGCAGTTGACTACTGTCATAGTAGAGGTGTATTCCACAGACACGTCAAGGTAAGAAAATATAAAGATTTAACACCACTATGCATCGACGACAATGAAAATACACACAACATCTCGACTAGTGGTAGATTCAATGCATCGACGACACTTAGAAATTTCTGAATAATCACAAGAATAGCAGAAAAATAGTCGGATATCACAAACAACTGGCATATGCAGAAAAAACTGAACTTTCGCAAATCTCGAATCCCAACAGTTGAAGGCACAAATTTGTACCTGCTAAGCAGATTGTTTTACCAATAAAGACAAGAAATTGAAGGAGAAGAATGAGTTCTGAAACAATCTTGAAACCTACACGAAAAGAGAAGTGAGAAACGGATAAAACAGAGAATACTAACAACGATGATAGAGCATAATCGAGCA